AATTGGGGAAGGGGAACAGCCAAGTTGTTGTCCTTCAGTCTTAGTTGTGGAGGGCGCAGCTAGCTCAGCTCCAAGTCCAGTCGCCATCCGGCTGCCCAGCGGCAATTCGTGGCCGCTTAGCTCAAGGTGCCGTGTTCAATCTTAGTTGCAGGTGGGTGTAGCCCACCATCCCATGCGGGAGTCAAACCGGCAACCTTGTTGTTAGGAGTACGTGCTCTCACCAGCTGAGCCATCCTGCCACCTGTTGGCAGCTCAGCAGCAGCTCAGCTCGGGTGCAGCTCACTGGCCTATGTGGGAATCGAACTGGAGACCCTGTTGCTCAGAGCTTGCGCTCTCAACCACTGGAACGGCCCCCTGTTCTACCCTATTTCTAAAACAGATTAGCCACTGTCAGGGAAGGGAGAGGGTGGAATTATTCCATTAGGCTGAGCCACATGAGATTGCTGATATTTGACTGATTTTGCCCTAAAAAAAGGCAATTTTTTATAGTTTATCCTAATATATATGTTTATAACTTATATGCATATTCTAGATCTTCTATACAAATAACTTTAAAAAAGGAACTTTGGTTCCCCAGTGCATTGGATAAAAAATAATTTCCTTTTAATTGAATGGAATCAACCATAGACTAGAATCCTACCACATTGAATAAAATAATCTACATGACTTGGCCTATTTTTTTGTTTCTGATAGCTGTGAGGAGGTAGGAAACCTTAGAGAAAAGTGGCATGGTCATTCTTAAATAAGCTTTCACTTCTGGCTATTTTATATATTTTTATTTTAAAACCAGTGAATTATTCAGGATTTTAATTTGGTTCTCAAAGTACATGCTCTTGGATTGTGAGACTTAGCATTTCATGGCACTTTTTAATTGTAAGACTACTATTTAAGTGGGGCTAAATAATTCTTTGAGTGCTAAATCCTCAAAGCTATACAATTACAGAAAATGTTCACTCACTGACAATTTAAAAAACCATTTGCATGCTGGTTGCCTTATGTGACTATAAAACATCTTTATTATCAAGTCCTCCAACCTTACAGGATATAGAAAATAGGGCTGCAGTCATCTTTGGTACTTGTAAGGTGTCATCATAATTTACTAAGATAGTCTTTCTAGGTAATATCTTATTTCATGACAGACAAAGTTCAGGAATTGTCCCTGAGACAATTTATCAAAGCTGGTTCCCAGACAAATAGGGTCACGTTCTTTCCTAAAGAGAGAATTGGATTAGAATGAGACTATCATTCAATTGAAGTCAGCAAGAGTTCCCATTTACCACAAAAGTCAGGCTTTCTGGTTCCCAGTCTCAGCTCTGCCACAGAGCCTGCCCACAGTCACTGCTTCAGATACCTTCCAAAATGTGGGGCACACCAAGCCCACATGTGTTATCACTTACCATCCTGTATCCAGTCAGTACCCTTCATCCCGACCTCGTGGTGATCCATGTACTTTGCAAAGAGCCCTAAATGCAGAATAAAGTCAGTGAGTCTGTGATCTGGCTTTGGCTCTAGGCAGCTGGCCAAACTGGCCTTTTGATCATTAGATTCTAAAAACTGGATTTATAAATGCCTGATAGTTACCTATTGATACCATAGCCCCTTTCTCCAAAGAGGTATTTTCAAGGTCATCTTCATAAGGAATGGGGAGACTCAACAGCACAATTTGGGAAAGTATAGGAGAGAAGTGGCTGTAAAAATGAAAGGATTTTTTTTGTACCTACAAGCAAGACTGCTGCTCTTCTGATAGGAAGTTTTGCATTCTTGGAGAACATCAATGTTTGGGCTAGGATGTTAACTTTCCCCTTGCATTTGTTTCCCTAAGTGGGAAAAAAAGTAAGACTATAAAGGAGTGAAGTAGCAGCACTGTCTTTACCATCCTCACTATAGTTTCCAGAGTCAGGGACTATGTCAAATATACAGTACATATACAGTACAGTGCTTGAAATAATTACAGCTGCTCAGTGAATATTATGCCACAATTCCCCGGACAAAGTTAAATTCTCTGAATACACCTTGCTCACACCCACTCACGCTGCAAATTGTGCCTGCAATGCCTCTAAATCCGTCTTCAGTTCTGTGTCTAAGTCTTCCCCATTCTCTAAGCTCCGCCTTGAGCTCCGCTTCCCTAGGAGCTCTTCCCTGACAGCTCTTGCCTTCCTAACCTAATCCTGCTCTGAGCATTTTGCAGGTACCTCTCTCTCAGCATGTATCACCTTCTACCTTGAGTTTCTTTGTAAATTTCCACAGAGGTTTTGTCTCCCTTACTAGCTTGCAAATTCCCGTTAGGACGGTTTCATCGTCGGCACGTTTCCAGGTTCTCCACAGCCTATTGCACATTGGATGTGTTATGCTCACTGGATGAATGAATCCACCTCTCAGTGGATATCTTACAGGGATAGTTACCTCAGGGTTAGGAGGAGGGGAACAGGAATTTGTTCTCATAGAGCTTATGATTTAACATGGATAATCTGTAGTCTTATCCAACGAGAGCACCAAATTTCCTGCTCTAAATACTGTCATCAGTGCATCAGTTATAGGTTTGGCTGCAGGTCAGAGAGGTAATCTCCAATGGAAAGCCTGACACAAGGGTACTGTGGGGTTTCCTAGCCCGCTAAGTCTGATCGGAGGAGCCCATACTGGGACCTGAACAGGCTACACATAAGGAAGAGCCCCAGGAAGTGTCAGTCCTAGGGTCTTTATAGTCGGATCCCAGGGCTTCTAGAGTCCATTGTCTAGAAAACAATGGATGGGACTCCTGAGGCTTCCCTGGCCCAAGCCTGTCCCTAAGATTGGTCACAGTAGCCTTTGTTAAGTTTGTGAAGAGAAACGATGCCAGCTGGGTCCTGACAGAGCCAGTGGCATGCTGCCATCATGCTGCATGGCCTACGAAAGCATGGCAGCCCTTGCTTGGGGCTCCGTGAACATGCTCTGATGGAGGGAAAAACAATCCACCGTATCCAAGGAAAGGATTAGAGATCGTTGTAAAGGTAATCCATAGCTCCATTTTAGTTCACTCCACAAGTAGATATTTGAGTATGTGCTATCAGCTTGACCCTGTAGCCTGACCCAGGATAGAGGGGGTCCCAAGAGTTCGCCAGTCTTTTCCGTGAGGAAGGGTGGCAATAGAAAATGTATTTGTGACTTAGTTGGGAGAAAACTATAGCTTCACAGTACAAGACCGTTCATAGACATCAACTGCTGATTAAAAACTACATGTGAAAAACAAAGTCAGCATATTAAAGAGTGAACAAAGCCATTCTGTCTCACATACAAAGAATTTGCTGATTGTCCCAACTTCATCAGGGTTGATATACCAGGGGCCTTTGCGATACACTGCTTGCGGCAGCTTCCACTTCAGGAACTGGGCACATGTAGTGAGGACTCGCCTGCTCTCCTGTGAAAAGGATTATTGGAGATCAGTATTTTCAACTATTTTTTAGCTGAGGTAAACTTTCTTCAAATAAAACTGACACTAAAGTCCAATATGAAAAGCTGATAAAACTCAGAATCATCCTGGTTGAAGTGAGGGGAGGAGTAGAAAGGAACCAGAGTCTGCCCTCCATCAACTTCCCCCCCAAACAGTCCCTAAAGGGGATCCATAAAACCTGTGGGGTTCTGGGGAGGATGCAGAAACCTCTGGTCTAGGGCAAAAGTGAGAGCGCTCAGGTGTAATACCCAGACCGGAGATTTGGGGCAGGCGTTCCCACTACCCCATGATCCAGAGGTTGGGCTCCTATGCCCACTTGCTCCTCCTATGTCATTTTTCTGTCACTCTACACAGGGAAACGTAGTTCCTCTTCTCACAGTCCTTGTGGAATCTCTGGCTTGGAAGAAACTCTGGAGTTTATGGATCCTTTCCTAATCCAGATACTTGAGCAAAATTTAGCAAGTGGACCTCTTTTTTCGTTATTTTTTTAAGTGTGCCTCTTCTCTGTGCGTTACTCTCAGAATGCCTCCCATGCACCATATAACAGCTCTGATGAGTCTCCAAGCAAGTATTTTGTCCCTGGTCCACTAGATATTGGGGCCATTGAAATTCCTTCCAGGACTGATGAGAATACAAATTAGTTCAGCTACTTTGTTGAGTAATTTGTAAATATCTAGTAAAGTTGAAGATACTCAGATAGTCCACATCTGAGTTTATGCTCTCAAGAAACTCTCACACATGTACACAAAGAAATATGCACAAGAATGCTCACTGCAGTATTGTAATAATGAAAAACTGGAAACAATCTAAACAACTAGGAATAGGAGAATGGGACAAGTTGTAGAATATTCACGTGGTATAATTCTATATGGCAGTGAAAAATGAACTAGAGCCGTAACATAGATAAATTTTATAAATACAATGTTAAACAAAAAGTTGCTGACTTAGGGCCGGCAGAGTGGCGCGATGGTTGGGAACTCGCTTGGGATGCCAGAGGGCCCCGGTTCGGATCCCGCATATGAGGGCCAGTGACACTGCCCTCTACAGCTAAGATGCTGAACAACAGCTCAACCTGGAGCTGGGCTGCCGGGAGTCGCCGGCGACGGCGTNAAAAAAAAAAAAAAGATTTCAGAGTTCCCCGAGCCTGTATCCGAGCCTGATTAAGACCTTTAGAGGCTCCAAGACTAAAAAGATTATAGTGTACACTCTCCCAAATATAATTCAAAATATAAACAATTCTCAACAAAATAAGTGTGAGAAAGTTCTCAAACTTTTCTCAACCTGGCTATTTCATTTTGAAATTCTTTCAAAAAGTTTTTTTGCCCCCCAGCTTTGCTATGCCCCTTAAACAGGTACTCGATCAGCACATGCTCCTCTTAGGAAAAAACTACTCCCCTAACCATCTAACTGTCAAAAGAAAAAGCAGTTGGTAGTTGTGGGGGAGGGGCAAGTCCTGACATATTCTTCCAGTCTTTGATTCTCAAAGGAAAAACTAAAGTGATGGTCCTATGAAAAGCTCGGCCTCTATAGAGAAAGTAGTGCCATGCCTACTCCCAAAGACAATGAAGTGATTTTTAAACCTCCTTTAGACTTTGGATAAAGAACTGAAAAACTGAAAATCCAATTTAACTTAAAAATGTTAATTCTAAGGCCTTTGTCCATCAACATCTATACCCAAGGCACTCCATTGGGTCATATTTCAGAATAGCATTTTCTTTTAGTTTTTCTTTCCACACACTGTCCTGGCATAGACTTCATTCTCCCTAGAACCAAAATTTAGGATTTTTGTTTCCTGAATCCATACATTAACTTGGGTTAACCCTGCTCCTCTGCAGTCCCAGAGAAGCTGAAAAACAACATTATTAGTGAAAAACTACCCCAGATACTAGCCCTTAAGCAGAGGTCATGGTGGGAAAGTCAAACCATATGAGAGGTATATACCGTATTTCCCCATGTATAAGACACACCCTTTTTCGAAAAATTTGGGGTCTAAAAACTGGGTGCGTCTTATACAGTGGTTGTAGATTTTTTTTTAACTTGCATTTCCCGCTTTTTTCGTGCTTGTTTTTGCGTTCATACAACCACTGTATAAGACGCACCCAGTTTTTAGACCCCAAATATTTTGAAAAAGGGTGTGTCTTATACATGGGGAAATACGGTATATAACAAACACCCAAAGATAGCACACCATCTTGGTGAGATTATCTCTGTTGCTTTTTCCTTCATTTAAATTTTCTCATTCAATTTAGAGAAACCGATATTTTCCTATTGAAACAGCTCAGGCTGTTACCTATGGGGCTACTGAAGAAAGTACAGATGATTGGAATCAAGAGACTTAGAAGTCCTAGCACTGCTACATACTGATTTTGTGCTCTCTGGCAACTCTGAGCCTGTTTATCTTATCTGTAACATGGCCATATCAACAATATCTAAATTATACAATTAATGCAAGGTAAAATCCAACCAACTCCAATCTACTTTATTTCCACACCTTGAAGAGTGTAACCTCAATCAATATAACTGATTCTTAAATGAATGAATTTAAATTGAGTAGCTGAGATTAGGAATGGGTCCACTTAGAGCACACACACTAAAGATAATATATACACATGTGAGAGCACACACACTAAAGATAATATATACACATGTGTCTATATAAAATATCTCTGGAAAGGATACATAAGAAACTGGGAATTGCAGTTGCCTACAACGGAAGAGAAATTCAATAGTGGTGAGGTAAGCATAGGGAAAGTTACCTTTTACTGTGTATCTTTTTGCATCATTTAAACTATGTACTTGTGCTAGAAATTAACTTAATAAATAAAATATGCTATAAAATAAATAGGCCATCACATTTATATGCTATGATAATGAAGATACCTTTTTTTACTACCTGTTGTTATTGATAAGTTCAATTAAAAACTGCATCTAAGAACGTCTAAGATTTTATCATTTAAGAAACTATTTTTCTCTCTGTATATTTGGTTTGAAAAAATAAGACACAGGTGAACAAGCATGAATTAAATTACATATACAATTGCAATGCTATTACTAAGGTCCTAAAGTTTGAAATGCAATAGACAAAAGCAAAATCCAGGTGTTTAGACCATTTCAAATACTAACTTTGTAACTAAAGTAACAGACCAAAGGCTAATTTCCTCAATATATAAAAAGCTCCCGTGAATCTACATGGAAAGCACTAACAAACCTCTTCGAAATGGGGAAGGATTTGAATACAATCTTAGAAAAGGAAATACAGATGGCATTTAGACATGAAAAGATGCTCAGTCTTTCTAATAAAAAGATGTAAATTTAAACCACTGAAAACCATTTTTTAAACCTACGCCATTGACAGAAATCCAAAAGTTTGAAAATGCTTCAGTGGGGCCAGCCAGATAGATGGCTCAGCTGGTGAGAACGCGTGCTCTTAACAACAAGGTTCTGGGTTTGACTCCCACATGGGATGGTGGGCTGCGCCCCCTCCTCCCCCGGCAACAAAGATTGAAAGCAGCGACTGGACATAGAGCTGAACTTGCACCCTCCACAACTAAGATTGAAGGACAACTTGATTTGGAGCTGATGGGTCCTGGAAAAACACAATGTAAACACAGTGTTCCCCTTCTTCAATTCCCCAACACTGTTTCCCTCCCCAATTCCCCAATAAAATCTTTTTTTAAAAAATGCTGGGCCGGCAGAGTGGCGCATTGGTTAAGAACTGGCTTGGGCTGCCAGAGGGCCCCNGGGAAGAGCGCAATGATGGTGCCAACTTGGGCCAGTGAAGCGACATCCTCCACAACTAGATTGAAGAACCAAACGACAGCAACTTGTCTGTTCCCCTTCCCCCAATTCCCCAGCACTGTTCCTATCCCCCTAATTCCCCAATAAAAATCTTAAAAAAAAAAAAGTTGCTGACTTACAAATAATACAACATATAAAGTTCTTTTTTTTTAACATATTAAGGTTTTAAAACATGAAAAATATTACCACAGAAATGATAAACACAGAATTCAGGATGACAGTTCTTAGGGGAATCCAATTGGGAATAGGTGCGTGATTAATTCCTGTTTTATTTCTTAGAGTGAGTAGTAGATATGTGGGTGTTTATTATGTTCTGTGTGTCAGTCATTCCTAATCTGTTTTACATTAGCTCCCTCCTGTCTGCTCAGGCAACCCTCTGAGGAGACTTGAAGAGGTGGCTAGTCGTTGTTCAAGGTTGAAAGGAAAAAAAGCCCGCGCTTCTGCTGCTCTAGGCCTTGCCTGATTGCCAGAGGCTGGTGGGAGGGTGGGTGTGGGGGGGTTTGAGTGGGTGTCAGCACCTCCACCTACCCTTTTTTCCCCGAAAATAAGACCTAGCTGGAAAATAAGCCGTAGCATGATTTCAGCTGAATATTTTAAGCTGAAAGAGCTTGTGGAAAAGGCACCTTTCTCCCTGAAACAGGTCATAAAACCCTCATGTGAGAGGTGTGTGCCCTCCATATTCTGGAAGAATCATGCTAAGGCTTCTTCTCTGGCTAGGTCTTATTTTGGGAGAAACACAATATCTGTATCATATCTGGTCAGAAAGCTCTGCTCTCTATTTTTTGGGGTATGAAATATTTCATATTTGTGGCTACGACCCCGTAAAACTTCCCCATTGCAAGGTGCCAAGGTCCACTGTAATCTTCAATCCTGTTTCTGAACCTGCTTTCATTTCCGTAAGAAGGAGCATAAATAGGTGAGGGCTTCGGCATTTTTCCAGACTCCTTGAAGCCTAAACTTCCTTCTCTGGTTTGCAGTCACTGCTGATTATAGTTAGCACCTTGGAATGGACAGGCTTTGGGGGTGGGGTCAGTACTAAAGAGGATGATATCCCACCCACAACTCTCAAGACAGAAACTCCTGGAAGATTAAGGAGAGGTAAAACCTTTAAATTGTCAGAGAAGCTACTATTTCTGATTTAGACTCAATACAAGTATTTGTCTCAAGGCCACGAGACAGTTCTTGAATGAAAGAAGATAAAAGAATATTATCCTTGTTATCAACAGAGGTTGTTGAATTGAGTACTGTATCTGGGGCTCTGTGCTAGGGTGAATGTTGGGGTGGGGCTACGAAAAGGTATAATACATTCATTCTTACTCACAAAAGGCCACAATTCGCTATACAGAAAGAGTAAGATTTTTTCGCACAATTCTCTTAGGCAAAATAATTGAAAGGTAGCCTGTACCAGAGGAAATGGGGAATAAAGATGGTACCTCAAAGTCCCCGCCCTCAATGATATGAACTCTTATTTGCAGACTTAGCTCTGGGTTTGAAGTAAAATCCAGAGAGAAGTTGACAGTAGGCATTACCTCAGCTACTGCATCATTTTCATCCTGAGTATATAGAAGTAGTGGGACCAAGCTGTCCAGGACTTGGTTCTCTACACTCTTCTTATCTGTGTGTTTCACAGACTTGATGGAGGCTCCAAAAAGTGTCACAGAGAAACGATGAACATCAGGTCTCACCTACCAAGGGAACATCCAAAGGGAAGCAACTCACTGAAAAGTGTTCAAGCTTAACTTATAAGAGCTTTAGGTTGGTTGAAACGCCAGTCCTAATATGAGGCTATTAAGCTGTAGGTAGCTGAGGGCAAGAAACCATTTGGAGACAGCAAGACCCGCTGCTTTGCATGATTTATTGTTCTCTCTCCTACTCTACAAGCGTGAGAAAGGGGCACAGTCCCACCTGTAGTCATCATACCTTGCGCCCAATACTGGTATTAACCACCCACACAGCTATTTTCCTGAAATTAAAAGTCCCAGCCTTGCATATTTGACTCTTATAAGGATGTGGTTCATTGCGCTTCATATATCTCTCTTTGAAAAAAATTTTGCAGTTTGAATAGGGGCATACGAGGTTTGACAATTAAGTTCAAGAATTTGTCGCAATGATGTTACTAACCTTTTTTGATATCAGAGGGATTATTCATTATGAATGTCTACCAACTGGACAAACAGCTAATCAAGTTTACTATTTGGAAGTGCTGAAAAAAATAGACAACCTGAACTTTTCGCCCACAATTCATGGCTCTTGCATCACAACAGTGCACCAGCTCACATGGCACTGTCTGCGAGGGAGTTTTTAGCCAATAAACAACTGTATTGGAACACCCTCCTATTCACCTGATCTGGCCCCCGATGACTTCTTTCTTTACCCGAAAATAAAGGAAATATTGAAAGGAAGACACTTTGATGATATTCAGGACATCAAGGGTAACACAACAGCTCTGATGGCCATTCCAGAAAAAGAGTTCCAAAATTGCTTTGAAGGATGAACTAGGCGCTGGCGTTGGTGCATAGCTTCCCAAGGGGAGTACTTCAAATGTGACCATAGTGATATTCAGCAATGAGGCATGTAGCACTTGTTCTAGGATGAGTTTGCAAACTTAACTGTCAGATCTCATATGTATAGTCCACCATCTTGATTGTTCCTTGAAAGCATAGAATATGTCTTTTCTTATAAAAACTCCTTCCCCTACCATGAAACAGAGGAGTACCTTGGCAAGTCTCTATGTCTCAGGGTTTTTTTGTTTTGTTTTGTTTTTCAGTCTGAAAAACACCATGACCCCTTACTATCATCGCAGGTTACCTGGAAGGGTCTTAAGAGAGGAGGCTTGAAAGTGCTCTGAAGATAAAACGTACTATATAAGATAGAGTGCATTTATTACTATCCCAACTTTTATTTGCTGTGATGCCAATTACCCTCCCTTAGGGAAGCCTCTCATCTCTCACTGTCTTACATCACCAAATAAGGAGAACAGGGTCCTCATCATGGCAGTCAGGGTGGGGGAATCCATTGTCCTAACGTGCTGCAGGAGAATCTGGATGGCCAGCAAAACAATCTTCTCGTCGGTGTCACATAAGAGGTCTAAGATGCATGACAACAGGCTTTCGATGTCTTCCCTCTGTGTGCCCAAAGGGAATGCATCAGCACCTCTCCCGATAGAGCCTCATCTGGTACCAAAGTAGGGCTCCCCACCTTTACTCAATGCCTGGTGATTGTTGAATGTTTGGTAGCACCGGCTAGTCAAGAACACAGAAGTGAAGAGGGCATGACTGCCTTCTCTCGGTATTGGCAGGGCTGATATGCAGAGAAGGGAGCAGGGTGAGGTTGGCACCAGGTGAGCTTGATCCAGTGATGTGGACTTGGGCTTAATGTAAGGAACTGCTCTCTTAACAATGAGACAGAGTGGAATGGTTAGCTCAGGTCGCAGCCAGTTTCCCAGCATGGAGGGTTATTTAAACAGAGGCTTAAAGAGTCCTTGCAGGAATTCAGGCAGAAATTGACTAAAGACCCTTAAGGACCCTTCCTATTGGGATTCTGCTCTTCTGAAGCTGCCAAAGGGAAGCAGTCTCAGGGGTTTAAAGTTTAAAACATACATATGAAAAGTAAATAGGATAAGCCAACCAATATTCATGTATCTAATCAACCAGAATTTGTTTCAGATATATACAGAGGGTGCCAAAAAAAGGTATACACATTTTAAGAAAAGAAAAAAGCTGTATTAAAATTACTCTGATGGTAACCACTTTGAGCACCTCTTGTAATTGCAGAAGTCAAACATGACTTGTATTCATCTTTTGTTATCAGTATATATTATTAAAATTTTAATACAGTTTCTTCCTTCCTTAAAATGTGTATTCATTTTTTTGGCACCGTGTGTGTGTGTGTGTGTGTGTGTGTGTGTGTGTGTATAATTAAAAAAAATATATAGATCTGAAGTGATAAAATTGAAGCCTCAGGGGTTAATCTTCTCTTCTGACCTACATTTAGTTTCTCGCTAGGCCTGTGGAAAATGAGTTTGCAACATGAATATCAGCGATTTTTGTCTCTAGATGATAAGGTAAGATGGTACAAGGCATAACAGGACACCTGAGTGTTACCCAGGTTGTGATGATAATGAGGGTGCCTCCTACACAAACTGCAGGTTTCAAATATTATGAATATGTGTGACTTGGACTTTTTATTTCTTTTAATTTCATTAAATGTTTACTAGTCTGTACTTGCATATTTCCTAGGTATAAAATTCAAATGGTACAAAGGGATGTATTCCCACCCGCTCCTGCGCCCAGGCTACCCTCAGCTGTTGCCCTCCTCAGCTGTTACCAGTTTCTTGAGTATCTATCTGGGATATGTTTTATTTGTGACTTAAGAATCAGAGGTCTGCACTTAACGGACAGTGTAGATGCCTGACCATTGCAGTGTACACCTGAAGCTGGAGCTGAATAATAATGTCAACTATAATTTAACATATATATATTCACAGGATGTGGAGTACAGCATAGGGAATAGAGTCGATGGAATTGTAATAGCTATATACGATGTCAGAGGGGTAGTAGATCGGGGGAGGGAGGCTATCACTTTGTGAGGGGTGAAATGTGGTCTAGGGGCCTCTCCTACCATCTCCTGGTGTCTGATGAGATAGTACAGTCCCTTTAGGGCAGCAATTTTAAAGAGGTTATTTTCATGTCGTAGCCAGTCTTTCAAGCGAGCAACAGAGTATATGCTGGGCAGTCTCCTAGACACTGGGCTCTGTAGAAGCTGAAAAAACCCAGAAATCAGCCAAAGAAGTTACCTTTAAGCCCTTTTTCATGAGAGGAGCCACCTTCCCACCAACTCCAAAATAACGACTTCCCTTTGAAATCACCTACACGGCATATTACAGGGTGATCATTTACACAGTAGGTACATAAGGAATGCTGAATAATGAATATGTGGGAAGAAGAATTTCAATAGGCTTGAATCTGAACCTATTTCTATCACACGTCTAAAAAGGATCCCAGCTGTCACTGAGTCGGACAGGGCCTAGGAAGGCAGGTACTGTTGCTTTAGAGGCTCCCTACATCCAGCGTCCAAATAATGAGTCTTACCTCTACAAAAAAGGCTGCAGATGTGAGTTTATGTTTATCGTTCCCTCGGTTAAGAAGAGGGACTAACAAGTACATGACCTTACATGCGAGGAGGTGATTTCTTTCCAGCAATGCGCTGTAAAACAGAATGCCAACAGAACCACTCTTAGAAATGCTACGAAACAGAGAGCATTTTCCCCAGGGTTGGGGGCCTCTGACGCGTCTGCCAAGGAGGGTATGGCAGGGTCAGGACCTCTGACAAATCTGCCTGGCACTATAGGTCTTTGCCGTGAAGGTTATTTAATCTTGGCTTTTGTGATAACTAAAGGGAAAAAAGAATACCTTAAAACAATGCCGATTTAGAACAGGTATGCATAACAAGGAAGCCTTACTTGGCAAGGAGAGATATTCCCTGAAGATGACAATCTTTTCCTGCCAGGAGGGTCCATCCTTTATTCTTTTCCATGATGTGGAATTCCTGCTTGCACTGTGTTCTGAGGAGGAGAGTCTTTGTAGCCTGTATGGCGAAGCTAAATCAAACAAAAACAGGACAAGTGAATAGAACAGGTCCCTCCAACCAGCCAGCACACCATTACCCGGCTCTCACTGAGAAGGACCATGCACTGATAACTGCTGGACTCTAATTCTATTCTTTCCAGATTTCCTGAAAGACTGAATGCTCTAATAACTTGAAAGGCCCCTCATGTAAATTATAGGTATAAAGAAATCTAACTAGGTTTCATTTCCCTGGAATTTGGAAATAAATCTGTGCTAAAACAAATGACATGGGATGCTAAAGCGATACCCACTGCTTTTTAAAAAAGCTTTATTTAGATACTGCTTATACCCAATAAAATTGACCTCTACTGCTTTTTAAAACTATTTATTGAACTAGTATCCTGGACACAACATCAGAGAATCTTAAAGCTGGAAGGGTCCTGGGAAAGCAACTAGCCTGACCTCATTTACAGATAAGGAAACTGAGGCACAAAGAAACAGATTTGCCAAGGGTACACAGATAAAGAATGAGAATTAGAACTCAGTTCTCCTCTTAGTCAGGTGTTCTTAAATATTATACATTATAGCACTTCTTCTGAAAGATATCCATGTGCAACAGCAACATTAAAAAATTTCTACTGAGGCCCTAATGGGGAACTAAAAATCTCTATGGAATAAAGCAGAAATGAGGAATTGTTAAATTGTGGATCAGCAAGGTTTTGGAGGTTGGTTTAAGGCTGTTTCACTTGCCTCTGTCTCTACTTGATTTACCCAAAAAGGGTTGGCATGATATCACATTATTTTGCAGGGCATCTAGACCCAGATCATCTAATTTACCTTGGCACCAATAAAACCAAGGACGGCCGGTGAGAGCCTAGAATAATTCCTGGACATGTCACCTTGACGTCTCATGGGGTAGCAGACTGTGAGCCCCTCCCACAGCTGGGACCACATCCTGGCCATCCTTGTGGCCACTATGGTGCCCAGAGCTTAGAGTTAATTAAGGTCAGTGGAATCACAATGGGCAGTACCACAAAGGGGTGACCGCTGAAGACACTTCCTGTTCTGTGTACAGGCCACTTGGGATGGCAACATCAGACATGGTGAGGCCGATGCTGTGATGAACCTGGATGAGCAGGGTCATGAGAAGCTGAGGAAAGAGTCGGAACGTAGCTGCTCGGAGCCTGTTTCCCACAAACACCTCATAAAGGGCATCTGTCACCTGTGGTAGAAAAGGCACACGGCAGAGCTGGGCGTGCTGGGCGTGCTGGGCGTACTCCTTACGGTCGCTTTACTTTTTGTACCATAACATGCTTCCTGGTTCCACTATCCCACAGGCAGGACAGTAGGGGTACTCGGTGCAGGGACATGAACGTGAGGGGGAAATGGAGTAGGAGTGAAGCGGTCATTAAAAGTTACCAAGGAATGAGGGGAAGTCCTGAAATCCAGAAGGAAACTATAAAGAAAACTATTAACGTTTTGACCATGTACAAAGCCAGGGCAAAGCTGATCATAAACAAAGTTATATGACAGCCTGGAAAAGTATTTGGATCAATGCAATATTCTTAATATATAAAAGGTTCTTGGGGCGGCCAGTTAACTTAGTTGGTTGGAGCGCAGTGCTCACAGCACCAATGTTGCCAGTTCGATCTCCACATGGGCCACTGAGATGCGCCCTCCACAACTAGATTGAAACAACTACTTGACTTGGAGCTGATGGGTCCTGGAAACACACACACACACACACACACACACACACACACAC